ACAATTCCATTACCTGAGGCCTCCTTTTTGAAAAAGAGGAGCTACAATTTCATTACCTGAGGAGAAATCTGGAGCAAGAGTGGAGAGAAGGGGAACGACTATAGTATAACGATCGATGTGGAGGAGGTAACAACTCAAAGGGCTCCTCAGTCTCCTTGGCGGCGTTGTATACAATTATAAATGCCTGACTTGTACATGGTCTCTCTCTGTTGCAAGAATTACTAGGCAGGCAGAGTGGAAGCAACTATATTTCGTTACCTACAAGGGGAAATTGATCTGGAGCGAGAGTGGAGAGTGAAGAGGGCAGCAACAAGGAGAGGAATGGCTACGACGACGTAGAGGGGGAAAAACAAGATGACTTCACACATTTAATTTACATAAAAATGAGGAAAAACAAGTTCTACTACAACTTCTGGACACAACACAGTACAGCACCCAAAAGGCCAACGCATAAAAAATTGTGAAACAATTCATTCGTAAAAGCTATCTTATAAAACAAGAAATAACTGGCACATGGTAATATATATGCACTTGCCTATCCAATTGCCCAGGTCCTAGCAATCAGCTCTAACAAAAATTAATTAATGACGTGATCAGGACCAAATTTGTATAGTTAAGTATAAACATAGCAACACTGGCCATAACTCAAGGCAATGCCTCCTGATACATGGACAAACACATCAGGCCAGTGAGAACACTATGAAGAGGTCTGAAAGCATTCCCGATATACTCCCTCTGTAAAGAAATATACGATTGTTTAGATCACCATATCGAGGACCTGGATGACACTTTTGACAGTTCGAGGACATGCGTGACACCCTTCAAATAGTTCGAGGATCTAGGATGCACTTCACTCCTCTGCACCATTGCGCGGCCTAGCCCGTCTCCCTTTGCTCGTTTCTAGTGATGTCATCTGACTTTATGCTCGAAGTAGTATCAGTGTTTGCCAATTTATTAATCTCGGACGTCCCGCTCCACCGCGACATCAAACACCCGCCTCTCCTCGCCCATGTCGCCGCACCTGGCGTACACACCGACGAGCGAATTGGAGACAAACACGCCCCTGGCGATCCCCTCGAGAACGGCCGCCAGCGTGGGCACGGCCTGGCCTTTCCTCAGATGCCCGGCATGCGAGCACGCAGCGACCGCTGCTGCATCCGTGAACCGGTCGGCCCTGATGCCCACGGCATGCGTGGCGCACTCGTGCGAAGGCCCCCAGCTGAGATGCGTCAGGCTCTCTGTCCCGCGTGATAGTAGGCGTCGATGAGAAGGTTGAAGGAGACGGCGTTGGCGTGGGGCATTTCGTCGAGCTGGCAAAACGGTGCAAGGAGCGTGTTGCAGAGAAAGGGGGTGGGCTCGGGAGATTTGGCCATAGATGGCAGCGGCGTGGCGCAGCGTCGAGCAAGAGCGGAGGAGGTTGGTTGTATGGTAGTGCTCCATGACTTTTGTGGCTTCTGTGAAAAGATTTGTCATTGCAAAAAGTATTGATTGTGTGCCGGTCGTACATGTGCTACAAAATCAACCAACGGAAAAATTTGTTAAACAATGTGTCATCCTCTCGATGCTAGAGATTTTGTCAACATTTGAAAGACAACCTGCCGTTCGCTCCATGTTGTCCCAAGGAAAAAAAAAACTTCAGAAACCAACACGAGGAGATCAACCAGTGATTGGGGGGATGTTTGTAACAAAGTAACCTAGATACATTTAGCCGGGCATACACGTCTGAATTTATCAACCTACAGCAAAACTGACTCAATTCTTTTTTCTCGAATACGCCTAGATGGCGTATCATTGCATTGATAGGGAAGAATGTTTTAGCAGTTACAGGAGGTCACCACAGAGACGTGCACAAGGATGGCGACGCTGTGGTGGCGCGATGAGCAGAAGACAGGGGGTTGCTCAGCCCCCAAAAACAAAATCAGGTTATAGCTAGTCCTGAGTTAATGCCTCGAGCTCCGGCCATGGCCCAAGAGCGAGCCTCTTCTTTGATGGCAGCTATAAGTGATGACAGGGAGGGCGCAATCTTGTCAAAAATGACGGCGTTCCGATGCCGCCAGAGGGACCACGCGACAAGAGAGGCCACGGTGGCAAGTCCGCGCCGTCTCGGCGCCGGGATATCCAAGAGAGCAGCAGGCAGCCAGTCGAAGAGGCCAACCGAGCCGTCAGGGGTGGCAGTCGATGGGGAGCACCATGAAAGAATGGCATGCCATGTTGCCCGAGCAAAAACACACCCCACCAGGATGTGGTGCAAGGTCTCAGGCTCCTGAGAGCAAAGCACACAGGCCGGCTCGTGGGGCAGGCCGCGGCGTGCGAGGCGATCGGCGGTCCAACAACGATTGAGGGAGGCTAGCCAAATGAAGAATTGCACCGAGGTCGGTGCACTGGTTTGCCAAGCAAGTTGCCAGGTGGCTGAGGAGGTGGAACCATGGAAGAGGGCGGAGTAGCAGGAGGAAGCCGAGTAGCATCCGTTCTCAGTCCAGCGCCAGCGAATGGAGTCCGGGCGGGGGAGCAGCACGACCTGCTGGAGAGAAGCCCAAAGGCTAACATATTCCACGGTGGCCGCCAGACCTAGAGCACCCTGGATGTCACCGATCCAGCGGCGATCAGCGAGCGCATCTTCCACAGTGCGGGAGTTTCGAGCTCGGCGAGGGACGAGGGCCGTGATATGAGGAGCAATGTCGAGGATGGACTTGCCGTCAAGCCAAGGGTCGATCCAAAAGCGGCAGGAGGTGCCATCCCCAATGGACCAGATCGTAGAGGCTCTGAAGAATTGGATCACCTCGGGGTCATGGGGCAACGAAAGGTGAGCCCAGGGACGAGTAGGGTCAGCGGCTTGCAGCCAGAGCTAGCGAACACGCAGCGAGAGCCAGCGAACACGCAGCGAGCCCTGCCCGTGGGGGATGGGCGGCCCGGGTGTCCCATTGATCAGGACACGAGTAGAGGCAGTCGAGATCAGGATTGAGACCCACTCGCGCCAACGAGGGCCAAAGCCCAGGTGCTGTAAAACCTCCATGAGGAATGGCCAAGAGACCGAGTCAAAGGCACACGCAATGTCCAGCTTCAAGAGGACACGGGGCTACTTGAGATGGTGGAGTTGCCGAGCAGTTTGCTGGACAAGGAGGAAGTTGTCGTGGACGCTCCTTCCGGCAATGAAAGCGCTTTGGTTGGAAGACACGAGCTCGCCGAGGCGCGGAGCCAGCCGCAAAGAGAGAACCTTGGCAAAAAGCTTGCCGATGATGTGGATCAGGCTGATCGGGCGATAGTCGGAGAGGGATGCCGCGTCCGGGCGCTTGGGCAGCAACGTGATCAGAGCCTCGTTGAGGCGATGGAAGGCCAGGCCATTCAGGGAGTATAGCTTGCTGAAAGCGTCGCAAATGTCACCCTTGATGATGGGCCAGCAGGTGCGGAGAAATTCGGCAGTGAAACCGTCGGGGCCAGGGGCTTTGCCCGAAGGAAGGCGCTTGATTGCCTCCCAAATTTCCTCGGGCGTGAAAGGCTGCTCGAGGTCCAAGAGATCGAAGGAGCGATGGCCAATCGCAGACAGGTCCAGGGCGACAGAGCGCGGCGCCGGCGTACCCAGGACATCGGAGAAGTGGGAGAATGCTGCACGGGCCATGCCGGAGTCATCGGAGATACGCGAGCCATCGACAAGCAGATCGAGCATGCGATTCTTGCTGGCTCTCTGAGAGGCACGAATCTTGGAGAAAGCAGCATCGGCCTCACCCGCAGCGAGCCAGCGGAGGCGGGCGCGTTGACGCGCAATCGAATGCTCCAGCGAGGCAAGCCCGAGATACTTGCGTTTGAGCAGCCGGCGCAGCCAAGCTTCAGCCGTGGAGAGCCGCCGGAAGTCCCAGGAAGCATCGAGACGAGAGATGAGCTCACGAGCGACCGCGAGCTGAGAAGCAATGCTGGTGGTGGCTCGCGCGCTCCAGCGTTGTAGGCTGCGCGCCGTGGCCCTGAGGCGCGCGAAGATGCCCGGAAGGGGTCGGGGTCCGGGGCGACAGAGACCCAGGCATTTTGCATGGTCTGGTCGAACCCGTCGAGGGCAGGCCAATGGCGCTGAAAATGGAAACGCCGGCCTCCACCAGAGCAAGGAGTGCAGTCGAGGAGCAGGGGACAATGGTCCGAGGCTGCAGAGGCGAGGCAACGAAGCAGACAGTGGGTGTTGGCCAGCTCCCAGGAGGGCGTGCACAGGACGCGATCGTTGCGCACGAGGGTGGGGTTGTCCTGCTCGTTCGACCAGGTGTAGCGACGCCCATGGAGGTAGATGTCATGTAGGCCATGATCAGAGATGAAGCGCCGAAAACGATTCATGAGGCGGCGGTTGATGCGATCGTTGTTCTTGTCACTAGCAGAGGAGATCATGTTGAAGTCTCCACCTAGCAACCACGGGCCAGAGATATACTGGCGCAAGTCGTGGAGCTCGGCAAGGAAAGAGATCTTGGCGTCGTCGCCTTGAGGGCCATAAACTCCAGTGAGCCACCAATGGTCGCCGCCAGAGACAGCGGTCATCGCTGCGGAGACGTGATGATCACCCACAAAAGGGTTGGTGAGGGAGACACGGCTGCTACGCTAGGCGAGGATAATGCCGCCCCGGGTACCGTCAGCGGGAGGCCAGAAGAAGTCGTCGAACTCGGCCCCAAGGGTATCACGAACAAGGAACGGCGAGACCCGGGATAGTTTGGATTCTTGAAGACAGACAATACAGGGAGAAACTGAGGCAATTACAGAGGGGACCACTGAGCGCTTGGCCCCGCAGTTTCGGCCACACACATTCCAAAACACGACTCAATTCGACTAACTGAAAGCAACGAAACTTTTTTTTTCTGTTCTAAACGACATAAATAGAACTCCTTCACCAGGGAAGGACGCACATAGCCATGTAGATAAGCCTAGAAAGGCAAGGAACATCCCAAGCGCTATGTATAACTAGATCGTATATCATCTTCAGGTGGCATGGATAATTTCCCTGTTGGCAGCATGTCCTTATAGCAAGGTCGCTAAATGAACGAATCCTCGACACAGCAAGCTGGTTGCGAATTGTCTTTATCGAGCTCGTCCGCGTCTCCTAGATACTGCATCCTCGACATGTCAAGATGGTACACTACCACCGCGCCGCTAAGATCGAGGATGAGTGCATTCTTGTGTGGATGGAATCCCATGATACTGCAGTAGGCACCCTGTTCTACCGACTCATGGTGGCCGGCGCCTCCAACCATGTCGATGAAGTTGTCCTCATCAGAGTCCCATGAATATTCAGAGTCATGTGGTGTGGCCCAATCATCCTCTGCGTCATCGTCGGACAAGCTGACTGGTCCACCATTGCTTCCAACAATCTTCCATATCATTTTGGGTTGTATTTTAAGAGTACGAATCACATGGCCATGCAGGTTGAGGTCGACGTCATGTGCCAGTGCCCAACCTAGTTCTCCATTGGTCAATTCGGTTAGCATCCATACTCGAAGCTGTGAATTGTTAGTCACCACATAATGTACCCCTCTCTCATAGCTTGCTAAGACTGAATTTCCGCGAAGCGAGTAGCAGCTTTTTGGACCGCAGGGTTCTCCGGGAAGCTGGAGCATATCATAAGTTCCCTTCAAGGGGCGTAGAATCACGAGGACGCTGTTGTGGCAATGCATGTAGACAGACCCACGCCAGTAATTAGATGAATGAAATGGACCCTCGTACCTCTCGGGTGTTCTACCAACCATGTCGTAGAGGTGGCCCGGCGCACAAAGTCCAGGCATGAACTCTCGGTCCTCCCACCGCCCTGTGCATGATGAGTACATTAACATTGACAACACATTTTTCTTGGGCTCCTCGAACTCCTCCGCTTGTGCTTCCCCGAATGGCGGAACCTGGCATTGCGTGCTAGCCGCCGCCACGCCATCCTTACTTGAACAGACTAGTTTCCAAATCCATCCCCAACCATAGGACCGATGGCCTTGTCAAGGAAGGATCCGAAGAATCTTTATTCAGCGCTGTCATCGTTGCCGCCGAAACGAAGACGATGAACAGCCTAAAAATCTAAACTACGAGAGAGTAAAAACGATCCACACGCGTGGATCCGGCGGCCCCCTCACCACTGACGACCGTGGTTGCCGGCGGAGGGGAGCCGTCGGAGGACGGCGCTGGAAGATTGGTCTCCTGGCGGCGGCTAGGGTTCCAGCGCCAGGGACAGGAGGAAAACACGTGCGCGTTCTCTCTTCTCTTTTTTGATTCGATCGTTTTGGTGTGCAGCGCTCGATTGATCATGTATATATAGCGTATTTTTCTTTTCTTTTGTATCGTATCCGTGTAGGATTAGTGTCCGTACGTGACCGCGACTGCAGTTTATACGAGTCCGCTAGGATTAGGTCTAGGTTTGTACTATTAATTAGGACGCTGGGCTTTTTTGAGGGGTAACAACGGCGGGCATACACCACACAGGCTGCAAAGAGGACCACCATTGCTCGAATATTTGTTTGTTAGCTCTTCAAAAACTAGATGATATCCCACGCGTTGCAGCGGGACATTGTAGCCCAAAGTTGTATTCTTTTTTGGTATGTGAGCCAAACATCTTAAGAAAAATGATAGGCGCTTTAGACTATAGAGGACGAAGATTGTTAAGGTAAGAAAATGATGCTCGTCAGCTGAGGCAAACTAAAACTGCTAAATGTATAAATAACATCATACTTGAGTTATAATTGTTTTCAAAACAATATCCTAAGATTATATGTTATCTGCCACTATATTAGTGCCCTTATAAAATTTGGGAGAAAGATCTATCTTGTAATTCTGCAGCACACTATAAATCGAATATCTTGAGATCCAAAAAGAAAAGAACAAAAGTTGTTGTGCATCATCTTAGAAACCACGTGTGACAGTTTGCATCAATATCACCATAGGCTAATTGATGTGCGCACCATAATATTTCGTCTGACATTAAGTGGTAATGCCATAATATTTAGTTTAACAAAGATTTGAAATAAACTGTTGATTAAGAAACATCATGGATATGTACAACAATTATACGTCAACATTGACGTAATCTGCTTACACTGATCCAGATATGCATTTTCAGACCAAAGTAACTACTTAATAGGAAGTAGGAGAAGATTTAATAGACCAAAGTCTATAGATCAGTGAACACTTGAAGGCGAATATTCATCATTGTACACAATTTTGAAAAGTACAAATTGCAATACTGTCTGAATTTCAGAAACTCCAGCAACATCAGAAGCTAGAAATGGCTTACTACTGCCTTGAAGATCTATAAATATGCACAATGAAACTTAAGACAAACGCAAATACAAATATTCCTGTTGGCAAAAACTATGAAATGTGTTGATCTAGCGTAAAGGTTGAACTGAAACCTTGCCCAGATGTTAATTGCGCAGAGTAAGAAATGTGTACATGTGGAATATCAAGAAAGTAATTGGCTAGCATTAATTGTTTGATCAATTAAGGAAAAGCACCTAGTAGACAAAAATAAAAATTATTAGGTATGTACATTTGGAAACACATCACCTTTGGAGCCTGTCAAATCGACTAAACGGGAGCATAGCATGGCGAGCAAAATAAACAGAGGAAATTGGCCACAATCGTAATGCATGACGGTGAGAGAGGGGTGGCTGCAGCAAGAACTCTCATTCTCGCTACAAACAACCATGCAAGAACTGTAGATGCAGTAGACAAGAGTTTTTTTTTTCTTTCGAAAAGGAGGATGACCCCCTGCCTCTGCATCTGGGAGATGCATACGGCCATTTAATTGATTATTCTCGAAGATCTTACAAAGTATAACAACAATATGCCTGAATCCGCCATCTTGACAGCATCTGCCGCTACTCCTATCCAAATGATGAAGGGATGCAAGCTGGGCCACATAACCATACATCTCACCTAAGCCTAACATCTAAAGCTGGAGGCCCCGACCGAGCCATCTGCCGGGTTCGGGGCTCAAACCGATCTGACGCACTCACATGTGTCGTCGCCGCCATCTTCCACGGTCAATCTTCAGAGCAGACCGAGGTGACAACCTTGGCAGGTCCTCCACCATCGACGCCACCACGACGCCAAACGACGACATCCACCTAAGCGAGCCTTGGCAGGTCCTCCGCCATTGGCGCCATCACGACGCCAGCCGACGACCTCCACCTACGCGAGTCTATCTCCAAGCAACGGACGTAAATCCATCACCTCCCTGCGGCCCAGCCAAGGCTCAAGCATTTCTCAAGCAGATGCAACTGGTGACATGTATAAATCAGTAAATATCACTGAAAATCATATTTGAAGAGCATGTTTTATACCAACAACTTAGACCGACGTATACTAATAAAAGAATATGAATTCTTATGGTCGCAGCAAAAGAATAACAATAGCGAGGCTTAAAAATGGCAAGCAGAAAAGGTATGACCAAAGTGTTACCTTGTGATTCCGTTGTAGAGTAGATGCTAAATCGTATCCATGTATCAAGCAGCTAACCTTCCAAGACCCAATAACTATCTACGTACATTATAGTTTTTTAAGATAAATGAATTCACAATCAGTATTGAGCATCGCGTGAATTTATACATGGAAGACATGGCGACACAAAGGTTCCCTATTGACAAATCGATTTGGTATGCCGGACTGTAGAATCAGAGAGAGGAAAGAAAACTGTGTAGAAGATTTTTTGCCCCAACAGACAGTGTTGGATAAGTGTTGGATAAGCGATGTAGGAGTCCATTAGGATGCAGCGGGCCGGCGATGGGGATTACCTTGTGCAGTGGCGGGGGATCCTCATGGGAAGATGATGCCGAGGACAACCTTCATCACGGGGTGGGCGACACCATGGCGGCTTCAATCCTGAACGGGGGTGGACATGCTGAGGATGATATCACGCACTCACGTGGATGGTGAATAGATATCACGCAATCATGTTGTTTGGTCATCGAAAGAGGCCCCCCCCCTTTCCTCTCTCGCGACCGCGCCGCCTCCCCGCGGGCGGCCGGCCGCGCTTCCGTCCCCCTTCTCCAGAGGCCTTCCCCCGCCACCTTCCCCCCCGCCGCCGCCGGCGTGCGGTGCCGGGCTTGCCCCGGGCGGCGCCGGTGGCGGCGGCCCCTGCTTTTTCCCTCCCGGAGGCGACCTGCGCGGGGCGGCGCGTTTCCTGGTGGTGTGCTCAGGCGGCGGCGGGGCAACCTGGCGCAGGCGTGGGAGGCTGGCTGCGCGGCGGCGCTGCCGTTGGCGGCGGAGCTCGCGGTGGTGGGGGGTGGCGGCGCCTGCTCGGCCCAGATCTGGGCCCCTTCGGGCCCATCTGGGCCGCGGCGGGCCGGCGGCTTCTCATCGACGGCGGAGCCCCCTGGAGGTGCAGTTCGGGCGTAGGAAGGCTGGGTGGGGGCGGCACTGTCGCCGGCTTGCTGCAGCGGGGTGGCAGCGGCTTTGCGGGCCCGAGATGGGCCTGGCCGGGCCTGGGGTGGCCTGGTGTGCCACTGCGGCCACGTCCGGTCGGCACCCGCGACGGTGCTGGAGGCACAGGCCTCCCGCACAATGGTGGTGGAGGTGGTTCCCTCCGGCGCGGCTCCGGTGCTCCCCCTCCCGATTTCTGGCGCTCCTCTCTCCATCCTCTAGGCCTCGTGATGGCGGTCTCAATGAGGCGGCATGGATGACTTCAAGACCGTGGTGGCGTATGCTGGTTGGTGGTTGGCTGGCTGGTTGGCTCCAGATCGGACGGATAGTGGTGGTTGGGATGCGGGAGAAATCCCTGCCGGTTCTTTCGGCGCCGACGCGGTGTCGCCTGCGGGCGTCGCCTTTCCTTCCTGAGGGGCGTAGGTGTTACCCATCCTCCACTCCTCTCCGCGTGCCGGGGGAAACCGTAGGACATGTCCGGGCAGCAGCGTCGTCGACGTCGCACCCCTTCTTGGAGGTGCTGCTTGGTTACGCGGCGATTCGGAGCCTTGGTGTGTGGTGGGACGAATCCGGAGGGCGCAGCGGAGGCGGATCATCTTAGCTTTGCCGAGTTGCCGTTGTTGGCATTTTGTTCTTCTTCTTTCTCTTTTGGGCTTGATGTGCTGTGCGCCCCAGCAGTTACCGTGTGATTGGTGGAAGTTGCTTTATTTATAAAGCGGGGGAAACCCTTTTTCGGTAATACAACAACCACGGTAAATGGGAAACCAGTAGAAATAGGCAGTTGTGATGAAGAAGATCAAGCACATGGATGGTGGAATGAGAACGGAGAATAATGGGGAAGCTGAATGGGAAGTTGAATGTTGACGGGTCGTTCGTTGCTACTGACGATGGATTAGCAGGAGCCGGTATGATCCTACGTGATAATGATGGCAACATTATCTTCTCCGCTTGTCGTTCCATCTTGCATTCTTCCGGACCGCTCCAAGCTGAGCTGTTGGCGTGCCAGGAGGGATTAAGCCTTGCTCTACAATGGTCTACTCGCCCGGTAGACATCGAGATGGACTGCATGGATGCGGTCAAGTTGATCAAGTCGCCTACCCTTGACAAATCGCCACATAGAATGATAGTTGAGAATATTAAGAGGCTCTTTGATGAAAGGGATATCTCTATTGCTCATGTAAGTAGGAATCAGAACGTTGTTAGCCACATCCTTGCTGCTTTCGGACGATTGGAGGGCCAAACTGCAGTTTGAACCGCAGGGTTCTCCGGGAAGCTGGAGCATATCATAAGTTCCCTTTGAGGGGCGTAGAATCACAAGGACATTGTTGTGGCAATGCATGTAGACAGACCCACGCCAGTAATTAGATGAATGAAATGGACCCTCGTACCTCTCGGGTGTTCTGCCAACCATGTCGTAGAGGTGCCCCGGCGCACAAAGTCCAGGCATGAACTCTCGGTCCTCCCACCGCCCTGTGCATGACGAGTACATTAACATTGACAACACATTTTTCTTGGGCTCCTCGAACTCCTCCGCTTGTGCTTCCCCGAATGGCGGAACCTGGCATTGCGTGCTAGCGGCCATTAATGGCTCCTTGAGCAGACCACCTTTCGGAAAGAGGAAAACATGGTAGTGCAGCGACACGGCAGGGTCGAAAGCCAAGGATACGCCATAGCTGCACCACGGCTTCAACGGCCGCGGCAAACGGGCATACCGCGCCGTCGCCGGGTTGAGCACGTAATAGCCCCACTCCTCGAGGAGGAGGAGGCCATTGTAGGACTGGAGTACTCTTGCCTGGTGCGGGTAGACTGGCCTCCGGAAGCCAGACGCGCCGCGGGTGGCTGACGGTGCGAAGAAGGACGTATCGGAGCGGCACCCGGTCTTGTTGACGAAGAGTCCGGGAAAGGCGCGCCGTGGGAAGTAGCGCTCGAGGGAGAGCCAGTGGTCGTCGTTGACGATGTCGCGCCACGCGCGGCACACGCACTGAGACGCGCAAATGTCGCGCCCTGGCAGGCGGCGGAGGATGTCGAGGAGCACATCGTAGGGAAAGCACGTGCCGTCACTGGCTGGGTCCATCCTCGTTTGGATCTGTGGCAGATTGGATTGTTCGGATCGGACTCTAGTTTCCGTATGAGATGTGATGGCCAGGGTCAGCTTAGCCTCCACGGATTTTATGGGAGTAGACTTAGCCTCTACGGCATCTGAAAAATGCTTAATCGCTACGGCACCTTGAAAAAAGCTTAATCGCTACGGCATCTTTAATAAAAACCTTAATCGCTACGGCAGTTTTTTTGCACTGTCGGCCGCATGAGAGCGGGACACGTGTTCCATCCGCTAAAATAGAACCTTAACTGACCCAGAACCAAAATGACACGACTCCGTAGCCGAAGTTCTTCTTTTTTTTAAAGAAAATACTGCTCATCCCAGATGCATGATCACCTAGGAGCCGGAGAACATCACTTACGAAAAAGGGCTTCCCCCGCTTTATAGATTATAAAGCAACCAACATCCACAACCAGGCCACCAATACAAACGCACACCACACACACCCAAGACGAGATACAAGGATGCCGAGCACCGACACACAACCTCAACGACTACCACGCACCCACAGGATGACCGATCAACCGAGAAGGGGTGTGACGGACCACGCCGGACCGAGGACTCCAAGACGATGCCTCCCAGAAGGGTACGACCACGGAATGTCGCCACCGCCTGAACCGAAGATCAAGCTTTCACCCGGAGCTAGGTGGAAGGAGAGGGAGCACCACGACGGAGCCTACAGGGAGGAACACGACATCCACGGATGCCGTCACCGTGTGACAGTGCACGGACTGTGCAAGTGATGTACTCCGGTGCTTCAACCCTACCGTCGCCTCCCCGGTCCGACAACCACCCGCAGCTATGCCACCCAAGCAACCATAGATGCCCGCTTGCATCCGAGCCGCACAGTGCGCCCACGACCACCGCGTCTTCCACCGTCAGGACCGCCGCCCTGCCACCAGACCACCGCGAAAGCTCCCAAAAGACACGACTTTGGTCAAATCCACGCCCCAACCGCCTCTTGAAATCGCCGACGGGCACTGCCTCGAGACGAACCACGACCTGACGCCGCCCGGGGGAAGGGGGAGGTGGGGGAACGGCCAAATGGCCAAA